GGATCTGGTGTGTGGCCGCCATCGGTTTGTGAGTTGGTGATTGAGTGGTTGTGTTGTAGAGTTCTTACACATTGACGACGATGTGCTGCCATGCATTCGAGGTGCCACCACCGTGTCGCCCCGCTCCCCAAAGACAGCGTTCCCATAGGTTTGCCCCTCGTTTTCTGCTGAGCTGTTGCTCCTTGGTCCCCCCCGTTCTTGTTTTCCCCTCTTCCCCAGGACGGTCTGTGACAAGGAGAGGGCCAGGAGCTCTGAGCTGCAGGGGGGCCTGGTGCGGCTCAAGCAGGAGTATGACGTCATCAAGGGCCTGCTGTATGCGCAGGCGCAGCAGACGCAGGGGACAGGTAGGTTTTGGTCCGCGTATGTGAGTGGTCCGTGTTTGTGAGCATACGTGTGCGTCGGCGTGTGGATGCGCGTGCACACAGAAACACATTTGTGCATGCCCATCTATTCCACAATGGGGTGACAGTCATGTGGATATCGACAAACAATAATGACGGGCACATACATGGACGCACGTCGCGGCCGCCGAGCTGCGGTATGCACCCCCCACACCTCTTCGTTGCTCCCCCTCGCGGCACTCAGGGACGAGCGGCCAGCCGGCGGCCGGCGGCCAGGCCGGCCTGATGCTGGGGGAGCGGCTGGCCAACCTCGTGTCCAGGTGGGCTGGGGGCTGGGTGGGGCTGGGTGGGGGTGGGGTGGGGTGCGGTGCGTGACTGGGGCCTAGACATGCGCTGATGGTCCCATGCCGCCTGGTGCAGATTGTGCTCAGAATAGACGCTCTTTTACCTGGAAGGGGGCAGCATCAAGGCCCAAGCAGCATGTGCAGCGTGTGGCAGCCCGCATTCTTGCATTCCGCTGCTGTCTCGCACCCAACACCCAACCTTTCCCCTTTGCCTGGCCCCCACCTGTGCCCGCCGTCACGCGGTCACCAGGCTGTCGGACCCCGCCCTGCTCAACAAGATGGAGCTGCTGGCCACACACCTTGAGAAAATATCGCTGCCGCCAGCGCCGCCCCCGCCCGCGCCCACAGCCACAGCCGTATCGGCGGCCCCCTGATTGTAAGGGCTGCCTCTGATGGGGGGAAGACCGGCAGACCGCAGTGACAACGCGGCGCTTGCTTCTCTTACGTTTTGACCGTGCAACGCCCAGCTCAACACACTCTGCCATTGACCATTCCGCCTCAATATTTTCACAGTTTGACCAACTTCATTACGGCATAACTTTTCCGCGCACCACTTTCTTGATTTCCAAGCCTGACCGAGTCGCACACGATTTTCCCACTTGGTCTGACTCACCGTGGTTCTTTGCCACATGACTCTTGACCAGTTTGCGTGACATGCGGTTCGCAGCACTGACACACAGACATCATCACTACTGCCTACACATACGTAGTTTTGGTGCGCAGCGGGGCGGCGCTCCACCCGACGCAGGTCCGCGCCTGCATGACAAGCAAACCCAAGCGGCAATTGACCCATGGCTGCAACTTCGCACCGTACATGCTGGTGGCCGGCAAACCTGCGCACTGGTCATTTGGCTTGTGGCAAAACTTTGTAAGCCAGGAGGGGGGCTGCTGCGTGCCGCGCTGTGCTGGGGATGGAAGTTTCACCACTGATCAACAGCAGAGTAAAGGCTGCAATCAGCACACAGTAACAAGGCCGGACCAGAGCCTAGAAAGTCTGGCAAGCACAGGTTTCAGCTTGCCGCTCGTATACAGCAACCAGCTCGGCGCCGTGGACCCATGCGCAGACCGCCTCCAGGGCCCCGAGCTCGTCACCGGCCGCGCCCGGCCGCCGCCCGCCGCTGCGTGACGGCGCCCAGGCCTTGCGGCGCCGCGATGGCGGCGCCGCCGCCCGCCTGGCCGCCCGAGGCGCCCGCGCCCCCGCCGCTTATGCTTGACATTGCCTCGCGGTACTCCTCGGGGTCCATCTGGCGGCGGTGGTGGGGTGGCGGAAGGTTGGTTAGCCAGTCGGCGGACGTTGTGGGAGGAAGGGTTGAGGGGCGTCGAGTATTAAGGGGTGTTTCGACTTCATGTGTGTGTGCGTGGTGTGTGTGTTGTGTGTGTGGCCTGTAATCATGACGGGGATCGCCAGCTGTGATGTGGCGTGCTGCGCCCGACCCCCCTCACCCGTTCACGTTCTGAGCGCGCAGCCCCTGCCCACTCAAGTTCCGCAAGAACCACAGGGCACCACTGCCAGACGCAGCTCAGCTCCCCGCACACGCGCATGCGGCGACACATCCGCCCGGCCCGCCCCCACCTTCATCATGGGCATGACGACCATGATGAACACGGAGAACCCGATCATGAGGCCGTAGGGGCTCATGACGATGCCCCGAATGTCCAGGGGCTTGCGCGGCTCGTAGTACTGCGCCATGCCCGCGGGACGGATCACCAACGGCGGGCCGACCGGCAGCTAGCCGGGTGGGCAAAGCGCGGGCGTGGCGAGGCAGGGGAGGCGGGCGCGATTTTAGGGGCGGGGGCTGGGCGCAAGCACGGTAGTGTTACGGAGGAACAGCAGCAGCATACAGGCTCGAAACAGCCAGCAGCGACACAAGCGCCAATCATGCGCGGCTGCACGGCTGCGCGGGGCCACACCGGAGCTCCGTTGAAAACAAAAGAAGCTCGCTCCACAACTCCAGACGGGGACACATCCACACGAATCTGCGGGGGTCACACGTGCAGGGTCGAGTGTAGGGGGGAGTGTAGGGGGGGAGACGTGGGCCAAGTACCCCAGCTTGATTACTTGCCCTGACCTGCACCTCGACAAGCTGCCATCAAGCGGCCGTCACAGGTGCTGTTGCCAGCTTTTTCGGTGCCATGTAAGTACCATGTGTGCCGTGCTTACGCATGTGCACGAATGCACATGCACAAAGGCGCACTGGTGAGCACGAGCAGCGGTGCATGCGCGCGAGCAGATGTGTCCATGGGAGCTGTGTGTGTGTGTGTGTGTGTGTGTGTGTGTGTGCGCGCGTGCATGCACGCGTGCGTGCTTGTGTGTTCGTATGTGTGTTTGTATGTGTATGTGTGTGTGTGTGTGTGCGCGCGCACGTGTGTGCGTGTGTGTGCCCATCAAGACATTCGTGTCCCATCATGCCTCCGCCGCCGGCGGCCCCCGCCCAACGCCGTCTGACCTCTGGAAACACAAACTTGATGTTGTAGGCGCTGACAATGTGTGTGCCAGGGGGCACCTCACGCAGCCAGAAGAGGCCGTCCTTGTCAGCAAAGGTGCGGATCTGCAGCAGGCGTTGAGGTGTGTGTTGGTTGAACTGTTTGTGAGTATGTGTGTATGTGCACGTGCATGTGTGTGTGTTTGATTGCAAAGGTGTGCGTAACTGGGTGTTATCGTTGATGGTCGATGCAAGTGGAGCCTGTCTACCAGCAGCCTGTGCACAATGATTAGTGCTGCACCAGGCGCGTCTGCAGCTGCTGGATGAGACCGTTGACTGTCCTGGTCCCAGGTCGCACATCTTGTCAAGCGATGTTGTGATTGGGTGCCCACCTCCTGGCCGCTGCTGCTGGTTGCAATAACCTCAATCACAGATCCAGGAGGTAATGGCTCTGTGTTCAGGCCGTCCACTGTGGTGAATGCATAGACGTGCATCATGAGTGCAGGTACGCGTCAAGCTGGACCTTTGAAGAACGCTGTTGGGAGGGTCTGAGGCTGGATTGGCGCAGCAGCTGCTTCACGTGGCAGCGGCGGTCTTGTGTCTGGGGGCGCTCATGCTCCCACCTGTTGTCGCAACTTTGCCTCTGATATCTGCCGTTCCCGACGCCGCCGTTGACAAGGCAATACACGCTAGCAGGCATCCCCTGCGAGGGGGAACGAGTAGCATCACTGCCATCTGTTGACAGCATGGGTCCTGCAGCGCCAAGCGACCGCCGTGGCGCAGCTGCAGCGTTCGCGTGACCGGCACGATCAGCTGTACTGAACTGCTCTCACCCCAACAGCAAGGCTCGCGACGGTTTGCGTGTCATCCTTCAGCAACAGTAGCCTAAGTGCCCCGTGCTGTACAGTCACGATACCAAATGTGATCTACTTGCAGCTCTACAATTCAATGTATCGTAGTAACTTGTCATTCAGGCTATCATGTCAATCACCGTGCCGTATGATACATCATGATCGAACGCGTGCTTTGATCATATGCCGATGCTGAGTGCTGTGCCGAGTGATCTGTGCTTCTTGTTTAGACGTAGATATGGCATTACTGATGAACATGAACCGTTTGCGCAATAATTTTCATCTGCCCGCGCGTCGGCGCACCATTGCCATGGCAGCAGCACCCAACAAGCGCACCACACGACAGATATGGCAGATTACAAAGCAAGGGGCCTTGGCAGACCTGAAGCTGTTGGGTGAGGCGAAAGGTTTGCATGCAGCGTCCACGACAAGGCGACGACTGCATGGCGGCGGTCAGGGTTGGGCCGTCGCGCCAACACATGTTGTCGCGTCAGACCAGCATTGACCACACCAGGTGTTGATCACCACGGCGAACCCTTGCACCCACCCTACCCCAGACGACCCCATGCCCCAGCTGCAGCCTGGCGAGGCCCTAGTCGAGGTCAAGGCCATTGGTTTGAACTTTGCGGACGTATTCTGCTGCCTCGGGCTCTACCAAGCGGCCCCCAAAGGCGCCTTCACACCCGGCCTGGAATTCGCGGGCGTGGTGACAGATGTGCACCCAGACAATCCCGACGACAGCAGCGGCGGCGGCCAAACCCCAAGCATCTCGCTGCGGCCCGGGGACCGCGTTATGGGCGTCACCCGTTTCGGCGCGTTTGCGTCGCACGTTGCGCTCGCAGCAGGCTACCTTCGACCAATCCCCGACGGCTGGAGCTTCGCCCAGGGTGCCGCGTTTGCCGTGCAGGCCCTGACGGCAGCGTACGGGCTGCTCGTGCTCGGCGACCTCCAGGCCGCGTGCAAGCGCCGCCCCGGCGGCGCCACCGTGCTGGTGCAGAGCGCGGCGGGCGGCGTGGGGCTGCAAGCCGTGGCGATCTGCCGCGCGTGTGGGGCGCGCGTGCTGGGGCTGGTTGGGAGCGACGGCAAGGTCAAGACCATGAGGCAGATTTTGCACCATCAACCCGGCGGCGGCGGCGGCGTGACATTGAGCCCTGAAATCACCGGCAGCGGCAGCGGCAGCGGCGGCGGCAGCGGCGGCGGCAGCGGGGGCGACGAGGCCGCAGCCCTCGGGGTGGGGGTCGTCGCAAGGGTCAGGGGCGATGCGGCCGTGAGGGCGCAGCTGCAGGGCTACCTGCGGGCGCGTGACCTGGAGGGCTTTGACGTGTTCCTGGACAGTGCGGCGGGGGAGTACCTGCAGCCAGGGTACGACGCCCTCGCGCCATGCGGCAGGTGAGGGGCCAGCCCGGGGCAGGCCGCGGTGCCCGTGCCCTCAAGACTTGGGGTTGCTGCGCTGTTGGCAGCTATCAATAGCGGCGGGTCTGCACAGGGACCGCTGGCAAGGGACCCGTCCGCTTGTAAGGCTGTGGTGTGCTGCCTGCGGCGTTCGTTCGATTGTGTGGGTTACGCGAAGGCTCTTCTTCCTTCCCCAGGTCACTACTGGCCCCCCGCTGCAGAGTTCTCCACAGCCACCCACACACCCCACACACCTCCCATGCAGGCACTGCCACCCCTTGCCACAATGTTGCACACTGCAGATACGTCGTCTTTGGCGCCGGCACCCTGACCCCGCCCCCCGGCATCAGCCTTGCGCGCGACTGGCGGCTCCTGTGGCCCCCAAACCTGCTCGCTGCACTGCGGCTTCTGCTCAGCTGGGCCACGCGGCCGCGGCTGGACGTGCTAACCATGCCAGGCGAGAACAAGGGTGCCCTGGGGTTCAACCTCATCTGGCTATACCAGAGGGCGGATCTCATGGCGGACCTGTTTGACCAGGTGCAGGCGCTGCACCTGCCGCCGCCCCATGTGGGGCTGGTGGAGCCGTGGGAGCGGCTGCCAGCAGCGCTGGAGGCGCTGCAGGGCGGCGGGACTGTGGGCAAGGTAGTGGTAGTGGTGGATGGTGATGGGTGATGACGGCTGTGGGCAGCGGGCAATGTGTGACGTGGTGATGTTGGGTGGAATGCCCTTTCCCAGCCACTGCCCCAATAGCCTGCCCGAATGTGGTTGTGAAAATGTGTCAGTTTCCGTATCGGTGGGGCTAGTTGGTTGCAGTGAGTTACGTGTGTTAGGCTAAACGGATTTGACATCAGTAATGGTTGGCGTGGACCCAGCAACAGCAGCCCGCAAGCATCTGAGTATCGGATGATCGCCATGCATCGCCCCCCAGCTTGGATGGAAGGTCAACAGCAGCTGCTGATGCTGCTGCTGCTGCTGCTGCAGCAGGACGCTGCAAATGAGGCACATGTACACGTTTATTACAGCATATACAATTATAGATGCGTTTAGACAGCGAGATTGAGCGATCGGGGCGCGGTGCGAGTGGACCTTAGCAGCAGCTACTGTAGTTGTCGGCCAGACGAGGTGAATCGGGTGTGTGTTACTCACTGAATGTGTGTTATGGTCAGCATCGAGGTCATTGTGAAGTCGATGCGATTAGGGACCGGTCTGCCTGGCTAAAGCCCGTGTGGGGTGGCGGTTTGTTTCAGCATCTTGCCTGCGTACTCAAGAGAATAGGGTTACTTTACAACCATTGACGCTGTCGCTGGGTTGCCCCGGCTCCCAACAGCAGTAGCGGCAGCGCCCACACACCTGAGCTGCCCATTTGTCAACCGAGCGTGGCTGCTCGCACCCCGCACCACCCCCAAACCTTGATGCGACTCCAGGACCGAAGACAGGCCCCAGACGCCATGGCGTCCACTAAGCCGCTTGCCCTCTTTCTGCTGGCTTGCCTGGCGCCCGCCGCGTGGGCCGCCACTGTCAGCAAGTGCATCTGGCGCAACGATGTGGTGTGCGACGCGTCGCCGTCATTCGTGATCTCGCGCCTGCCGACCCTGGCCAGCAGCCCCGCGGACAACCCTCTAGCCGTCCAGGTGCTGCAGGGGTCTGCGATGGAGGCGGCCTGCCACATCTTTGAGACCTCGGCGGACTGCGTCGCGGCCGACGCCTGCACCTGGGACAACACCCTGGTGCGACGGTCTGGGGTTGGCAAGGGTGCCGGTGATGGCTGCAGCCGCCATATCACCATTGCATCATGGCATTGAGATTTTTGCAGATGGTCCAGTGAATGGATGACCGCGCAGTTGATGGATGACCGCGTTGTTTTAGGCTTGTGCTCCGCTGCAGTTGGTGAGTCTGCGCAGTGATTGAGGCGCCTGTCCCTTGTTCCAGCTTCAATCGTGCCCCGTCCGTGAAAAGTTGCACGAAGGTGGCACACCAAATTTTGACCTATACAGTACCGTACAATACCCGACACATCTGCCCGCGCGCACGCGCTCGTCCCCCAGACGCCGTCTTGCAATGTCGACGCGTCGCTGCTGGCCCAGCGCGACGTGTTCAAGTCCGGCTGCCCCGGCTCCCTCATGGAGTCCTACGTCCGCTGCGGCTCCGCCTTCAACGAGAAGGAGTGCGGCCGCATGGGGCCCAGCTGCGTGTGGTACGATGAGCTGCAGGTCGCGGCCGCCCAGGGCGGCAGCCACGGGCAGCTGCGCCACCTGTCGGAGGTCAAGGGTGCCGGGGGGTCGGCGCCGGCGCTCGCGCCGCGTGCGTGCATGCCCAAGCAGATGTTTGCGCTTGAGAAGAAAAAGGACAAGGAGGGCACCGCGAAGATCATGAAGCAGATCGCGTCGCAGGACCCCGCAGGTGGGTGGCCGCGGTGGTGGGGGACACGTTGGTGAGGAGGGCAGACAGCGAGCGCCGGTGGGGTTGGCGCCCAAAAGAGGTGCGATGCTCATGTGCTGGGCTTGCTGCCCGAAGGTTTGGTGGCTGTTGCTGGGGCCGATAATTTGGTGATGATGGCAGGGGGCGACGCGGATCTCAGCCATGAACAAACCATGCATCATATCAACGCCGTCCCCCCACCTTCGTCCCCGTCTATTTGCAGTCTGGGGCGACTGCCCGGGCGTGGTGGCCCTGCGCGCCATGGCCAAGAGCTGCACCGCCTTCTCCTCCCCCGGGACCTGCAAGGCCAGCGCGCCCCTCTGCCGCTGGAACGACCTCGTGCGCGCGTGTGTCGCCACCGGCGCCGGCCAGACAGCGTGGGTGCTGGGCGCCAACAGCACGGAGGTGGCCGACGGCGCCAAGGCGTGCGCGCGCGCCAGCAGCAAGGTGTCGTGCGCGTCGCTGGACACAGTCAGCGTCGACCCCAAGGTGTTCGCGTCGGTGCAGACCGGGGACTTCAGCACCACCAACGCAGCGGGCGCCCGCCGCGGCGCAGCGGCGGCGGCGGTGGTGGCGGCCGCGGCGGCTGTTGGGGCGGCGGTGCTGCTTTGATTACTAGCATATCATAAACCCTGTCCGACCCGCCGCCAATGCTGCTGCATGTCCAATAGATACAGTCGTGGGCCCACTTTCCTTGCCCCTGCGCTGCTAGCGGCAAAGGCGAAGCGAATTTTGGCGTCGAGCCCATAGCCAATTACCCACACGCGCACATGTGCTGGGGCAGGCGTGCACTGATGGTGGAGTGCCCACTTGCGCTGCTGTTGCACTGCTGCCACTGACCCTGTGCATGGCATTCGCTTGCACTCAACCATGGAAGCGTGCGCCCAACTTGAGCAGCCGGTTGCTGTACCGCTTGCCCCGTGACCGTCGAGCACTGCGAAGCAAACTCACTGTGCTGCAAAACTGCTGATTGATATGCACCCACCGGGTCCGGCTGCTAGCTTGCGCAGGCCCGGCGGCGTGACGCCTTTGACCGAGCGCACCCTGCCCTCTCGCCCTTTAATTTGCCTGGGACGGTTGTGAGGTCCTGCTGCTGTCTGTATCCCCGTGCTTCACTTGAAACCCATCAGCTGTAAATTGTGAAATTGTGGGTGCGCAGCAATCAAGTGGTCTGATGTGCCTTGATGCTGTTTGAGCCACGCTCGGCGTTGAAGAGCGGGCTCCTGCTCGTGTGTGTGCCGCAATGACACCATCACGGCGCAAAGCTTCAAAAGCCATGCCGACACACGCTAAAGATTGACGCATATTAAATGCAAAGACGTGGTGATCAAGGCTCCAGAATGACTGCTTGGTCCAGCGGAAGAAAGGACTGCAGTCACTGCAGGTTTGACCTCGCCAGGGCGAGGTTGAGCGCCTGCGTGGTGTACGCCAGGCCCCCACCTGCGAGACGAGCACAGCAGGCATGCACACATAAGCAAAACCGTCAATGTGTGTGTGTGTGTGTGTGTGTGCGTGTGTGTGTGAGCGTGCGCGCGCGAGCGTGTGTGCACACACATGCACGTCTGTGTGTGCGTGTGTCTGTGTGTGCGTGTCTCTGCGCCCTGCGGGCGCCGCCACCGGCGCCCGCGCATTTTTCTCCCCCCCCTCTTATTTTTTCACTTCCACACGCGCGCGCTGCCCCGCGCGCACTCCCACATATATGGAACATTTGCCGTGTATGTGTGTGTGTGTGTGTGTGTGTGCGCGCGTGCGCGCGCGTGCATGCCTGCCCATGCGCATGCTAGTGACCTCAACCCCATGTATGCATGCCCTTGAATGCAAACCCAAGGTCTGGCCATCCGCCCTTGAAGTTGCCAGTAGCTCCAGGAGTGCACACCCTGGCAAGGGCGTGCGCACAAGCAACCCGCGCTGCGGTACCCACTGCAGCAAGCGTGCGCCAAAGCAGTGCCCAGTGACATCTCACCGCCGGCATTCTCCCGTGCTCGCCGCATCTGGGAGTCCCACTCGCCAATGGCCGAGTCAAACGCGCCCACCACCGCCGCGTCGTCGTGCTGAGGCGCGCCGCTGCGCGCGTTGAGCGCCTGCAGCTGGTCTCGATTGCTGTGCAGAAGCTGCCGCGCCGAGTCGGTCAGCTCCTGTGGACGGTCGTTCCCGGTGGGGGTTGCAATGGATCACCAAGGAGCTTGTTCCCTCGCAGAGAGCGCGCAGGCGCAGGTCGGAAGCTCGGGCTTGGGCAGTTGATCGGCCTGGGAAGATCAACCCTTGAAGCGCTGAGTCAGGCATGCCATGGTGGATCGTCCCAAAGGTCCTGACAGCGGGGCGCATGCGCGCAGCAGCGCCCAGCCCTCCACCTGCTTGGTTGTAATGAGGGCTTGGCACTGCTCCTTCAGCTCAGGCAGGTCCCTGTGGTGTGAATGTGTGGCATTTGGATTGAGAACTCTGCCTCATACGCTTGCTGCCATGAGGCAGCTCGCGCCAGCGCCGAGCTGCGCCAACGCAGAGCCACAACAGCTGCAAGGCTGGACTCGTCGGGTCGCTGCTGGCTGCCGCTCCGCCGTGGGCGCGGCCCGCGAGATGCGCACCTCTCCAGCCGCCGGATGCGCTTTATTATCGCCAGGGGATTGACCTGAGAGGGAGCAAGCCCGCAGCGCAGGCGATGTTGATACGTCAGCGCCGGTGCCTCCCCTCTGCGAGGTACGGGCGGCGCAACCATGCGGCTGTTGGTCGCCACAGCGTTGTGCCCCGTGCCGCGCCGGCGCCAGCCAATGCGCCCCGCCGGACTGCTCACCCCAACATCTGAGAAGCGGTCGGCAAACTCCTCCTCCAAGCGCCGCGCCACTTGAGCGAGTGTGGTGCCGCTGCGCTCCAGCAGGCCGATCAGGTCCTCGCCCGCCACCGCGAGGTCGGACGACCCCGCGCTCAGCTGCATGGCGCCCGCTGTGCCTGCGGCAGCGCCACACCTAGGATTTCGGGGGTGCGCTGGCGTTTTGGCACGAGAAACCGGCCGCTGGACTTGTGCTTGCGTTCAGGCGTCGCCCTCTTGCAGCAGCTATGCTGTACACCCACAAGCAGCTTTGCCGGCAGTGAATCTGCTGTTGTGTTGTTACCAGCTGTAATTACGATTGCGGTCTTACAATTATCGGCACTCAACTTCTGGGGTCTGTAAGGAGCTGTTCAGGAGGCCAGTTCAAACCCAGCGTGTTGATCAATCGATCTGACAAGAGCAGTCTCATGTAATGGAACTAAGAACTCCTCCGATTTTTCCTCACTGCACGTACGGTACACCCCGACTGTCGTCGCACTCGTGCGTGTGCTGACGACGGTGCCGCTCGCACTATAGTCACTGGCCAACCAGAGGTGATGAAGGCCGGCGATGTAGGAGAGATCCTTTGAGGTCCAATAAAAGCCGTGTCTATAAAACCGTTGGATGCCCCAGTGAACCACTTTAGACGCGTTTATCACAAGCTCGGCTTGATCTCACTGCTTCTCTCGGCGTACAGCAGCCATGCTTTCGTCCCACGCCCAGACTGGCGTGATGGCGCCATCAAGGCGTGCTTCAGGTGCACGCATGGGGCCCCGCAGCAGCTTGCGGACAGGCTGCAGCAGGGTCACTGGTGCTGCTGCAGCTGCCCAGGCCCAGCAGCGGCAGCCCCTTGGCGTGGCCCTCAAGCAGCAGGCTCAATTGGTCTCTAGAATAGCTGGTGTTCGCGCGCGTACCAGCGTTCGCGCGGCCTCTGGCAACGGGGGCCCCGAACCAGACGTCTACGACACGGTCGTCGTGGGCGCGGGCATCTCTGGCCTCGTCACAGCACAGGCACTGGCAACTAAGCACGCTGACAACGTCAAGAGCTTCCTGGTGACCGAGTCGAGGGATCGCGTCGGCGGCAACATCACTTCGCTGGCAAGCGACGGGTACGTCTGGGAGGAAGGGCCCAACAGCTTCCAGCCCAACGACTCGATGCTCCTGGCCGCGGTGAGTGTTGGCAAAGGCAGGCCCTGCCGTGTGTGCCGTCACCTGTGCGCACCCGGGCAAGGCGTCTCACATATTGGCTCGGTTGCGGGCGGTTGGCGTCGAAAGGTAACCGAGGCCATGCGCGGCCCTAGGGGTGCATGGCAACGGCATGTTCTGGATGTGAGCGCCCTTTGTTGCTATGTTGGTCATGCGCGCACCCCGCGTCTGCCTGCCGCACGGCTCACCAACGCCCCTCTCCATCCCCCCAAGGTCGAGGCCGGCGTGGCCGACCAGCTCGTGTTTGGTGACCCCACGGCGCCGCGCTTTGTGTTCTGGCAGAACAAGCTGCGGCCCGTGCCCAGCGGCCTGGACGCCTTTACCTTTGACCTCATGAGCATCTGGGGCAAGATCCGCGCAGGACTCGGCGCCATCGGCATCGCCAACGGCACTATGCCCGGTGAGCGGCACCAACAAGGCTCGCGGCCTAGGGTAGGGGAGGCCGCCCGTGAGCGCCGTGTGCTTGCTGCCATCCGCACGGCTGGGCCTGCCTGCGCGCCTCTTGCTGCTGGCTGCGTCACAGCCGCCCTACCTTTTTTTCCCCACCCCGCCGTGCCCCACCCTGCGCAACCCCCCACTTCACTTGGTCTGGCCAGAGTCCGAGGAGAGCGTGGAGCAGTTCATCCGCCGCAACCTGGGCGCCGAGGTGTTTGAGCGCCTGATCGAGCCCTTCTGCAGCGGCGTGTACGCGGGGGACCCCTCCAAGCTCTCCATGAAGGCCGCGTTCCAGAGGGTGAGCGCCCCCACGCGGCGGCCACGGCGGCCGGGGCACCGCGTACGGGCATGCCACCTGCGCCGCCAGCGCCGTCGGGCGAAGGCGGCGCAGTTGCAGACGCCAGGAGGGCGGGCGGCGGTGGCGCGCTGCGGGGCGGCTGCGGCGCTGCGCATTGCTGCGCAGCGCGGAGGGGTTGGCTTACTCGCACAGTGCACAGCTTGATGCGCCGCGAGCCCATCACGCGGCGTCCAGCAAGGGGGCACCTGACGCCAACAAATGCGGTTCTTCGGCCCATTAATTGGCCCCTGACGTGTGCACTCGTCGCTCGCTGCTCCGGCGTCAGATCTGGATCCTCGAGAAGCAGGGCGGCAGCCTGGTGGGCGGCGCCATCAAGCTGTTCCAGGACCGCAGGGCCAACCCCCCGCCGCCGCGCGACGAGCGCCTGCCCCCCAAGCCCAAGGGCCAGACCGTGGGCAGCTTCCGCAACGGCCTGCAGACGCTGCCCAACGCCATCGGCGCCAAGCTCGGCGGTGAGCCACGCCCGGGGCTTGCGTGCACGGCGCATGGCGCGCGGCGCGGCCGGTGGGGCGGCCCTGCTTGCCGGACTGGCACCAAGGCCCCGCTCACGCTCACCCCTGGGTAAAAACAGCGCACTGGAAATTGCAGGCCCTGTCCTGCACCGTGCACTTGGTTCGGCCTGCCCGTGCCCCTGAAACGCAGCCTGGAACGCCGCTCCCTTCCCTCCCACGCGCCCGCTCCCCT